TGGTTCACTATCAAAGGTCTGCCGGTACCAGGTTTCAGTTGTGGCTGTCTAGGAATCTTAGTCTCAACTCTGTTCTGCCTTGTTTCCTTGACTTGGACTGTAATTTATTGTCAATTAGTAAACTTCACTAAGGAAAAGAGGTGTGTTATAATTTTTTCTTCAACTCATTGTGAATTTCAGGATTGGTTCGGGAAGACGATTTGGCAATGCTGAGGAATGCTCTGGACTCTACATCCTTACGCGAACGCCACTATCCACAGGAACAACTCAAACGGCAATTTGTGGTAGTTCCTTTTTTTTTTCGGTTTCGTGTCAAAAAATAACGATAGAGCAATTTATAGTTGTGGCACTATCGTTAGGTCATCCTTAATGTTATGTATCTAAGCATTATTCCTTTCATTATTTAATAAAAATCCAAACCTTTTGATTGTGAGATTATGTCAATTTTCTAAACATGTACGGTCCCATTTTCCCATTTACAATCCTATAAAGCCGTCTCGTCCATTCTCACTAATTCATAGTGATATCTGGGGTCCATCCACAAAAAAAATGTAACTGGTACTAGGTGGTTTGTCTCATTTCTAGATGATCATACTAGAATTAACCTGGATCTTCTCATTGAAAGACAAATTGAAACAACCAAATCTTCAAAAAATTTACATTTATTGATTCAGACACATTCAGTCAAAAAATACAAATTCTAAAGTTGATAATGCTCGGGACATATTTCAAACTCCATTTCTAGGAGAATTTTTAGCAAAAAGAAGGGGGATTTAGTTTCAAAACTTTTAAAAAGTTCATTGGTTTTGTTTGGGGAAACCCCAACCCCCACAACAAAACGGCATCGCTGAACGAAAAAATAGGCATTTGTTAGATGTTGCCAGATCGCTTAATGTTTCCCAAATGTTTCCACAATTCTTCTGAGGGGAAGCTGTCTGTACAGCAGCCTACCTTATTATATAGGATGCCATCTAGGGTACTAAATTTCCAAACCCCTTTCAACTCCTCCTAAAATCCTTTCAATACTCGCCTCATCTCCACCATCCCACAAAAATTTTCGGTCTCTGTGGTCTTGTGTTCATATCCATCACCAGTTATCGAAGTAAACTTGACCCAGGGATCGCCTCAAGTGTATCTTCATTGGGTAGTCTTCACATCAAAAAGGGTATAAGTGTTACTCTCCGCCGTCACAAAGAAATTCTATAATCCATGGGATGTCACATTTTTTTGAACCCAGTCTTACTATCCTAAAATCGTCATTCAGGGGGGAAGACTCCAACCCCAGGAACATCAATTTTTGGACCCTTGAGTCATTTAGTGAAGCCATCCTCACCACCAAAAATCACACACCTCAAGAGTCATTTAATCAATCTTTACCTGCCGAAAATTCTGAGTTCTTGTTGAACTTTGCGGGATTAAATGAGCACATCAAAGGACACGGAGGAAGAGCACTTTCTCACAATCCCATGAGCTGAACCGGGTTCTAATCCAAGCAACATTCCAGGTAACCAATATTCCTACATAGATAGTACTGTTGTTCTAGTTAGAAAACAAAAAAATAGTATTCTTAATATGCCCATTACTTGGAGAAAAGGAGTTAGATCATGTACTCAGCATCCCATTGGAACTTTATTTCTTATGATAAGCTATCACCTTCCATTCCGTGCCTTCACTTCTAGCATCACAGAGATACCCATTCCTCAGAATATTCAGGAAGCCTTCAAGTCTCCTCAGGGAAGGCGGCAGTCAATGAAGGAAGTTCGGGCTCTGGAAAAGAATGGTACTTGGGCAATTACTGATCTTCCAAGAGGTTAAGAAACCAGTTGGATGTAAGTGGATTTTCACAGTAAAAGTACAAGGCAGATAGGTAATTGTGGGATCGTTTAAAGCGTCGGTAGGTCGCTAAAGGATTCTCTCAATCCTATGGCATTTGACTATCAAGAAACCTTTTGCTCCAGTTTCCAAGCTCAACACTGTTCGTGTCCTTTTATCCTTGGCAGCTAATCATCGATTAGTTCACTTCACCAACTTGATGCTAAAAAATGCCTTTCCTCAATGGTGACTTAACGGAAGAAGTTTACATAGACATTCCTGCTGGACTTGAGACGACATCAAATTTTCAACAAATTTGCAGGACTCCGAAAATCCCTGTATGGTCTCAAACAATCCCAGGGCCTGGTATTGAGCGGTTTCACTAAAGGTGCAAATAGTGATAAGGGTATGGTTTTTGTTCAATGCAAATCCGATCATACATTATTTGTGAAGCACTCAACCTAGGAGGGAAATGGCAATTATCATGTTTAGTGGATGACATAATTCTAACAGGTTGATCCATGAAGAGGAAATTGGCTTACTTAAAAAATTCCTAACAAAGGAAATTTTGAGATTAAAGGATCTTGGAAATCTTAAAGTACTTTCTTGGAATGGGAGAATTGCTAGGTCAAAGAAAGGTATAGCAGTCTCACCGTAAATACGTTCTAGACTTACTAAATGAAACAGGGATGCTAGGATGCAAAGCCGGAAGAAACTCCTATGACACAACGTATCAAACTGAAGAAAGTGACGGTAGTGCACCAAGTTTGATTAAAGGGAGATATCAACGTCTGTGGGAAAACTCATTTATCTTTCTCAACAAGCCAGACATCGGCTTTCTCTGGTTAGTTGGTCAGTCATTCATGAATTAATTCAACAAACACATGGACTGCTGTGACCAGAATATTGAGAGACAAGTACTAAAAAATGATACCAGGAAGGGTCTCTTTCTCCAAAGAACAACAAATAGAAAAATGAGATTTTCAATGCAGATTTGGGCAGGTTCAGTTGAGCTGATCGAGTCAACCTCTGGCTATTGTTCATTTTGTTTGGGGGAACGCTGGTTACCATGCGAAGCAAGGAAACAGTCAGTGGTAGCCCGTAGTAGTGCTGAAGGCAGAATTCTGCTATGCCCTAGGTATCTGTGAGGGAATCTGGTTGAACAGACTGTTAGAAGAATTACGGGTTCCATTTCTGAGCATCCATGGTTTTATACTGCCGACAACCAAGCGCCATTTCGTATCGCTAAGGAATCCTGGTTTCATCGATTGATCGAACTAAACACGTGGAGACTAGATCGACACTTTATCAAGGAAAGATTGAAGAAGGAGTTGTTCAAGTCAGCTACACATCCAACAAAGAGCCAAAAGGCTGACATTCTCACAAAACTCTTGGCTCGAGTTAGCTTTGAAGATCTGACGGACAAATTGGGAATGAATTAACATCTACACGTCCGCTTTGAGGGGAAGTGGTTTGAAATCAAGCTTCTTTTCATTATTAATAATATATAATAATATAATGTATATTTATATTTGATGTGTCATTAGTAAGTCATCAGATTGCCTTAGATAGTTGCAATTTGCTTTACAGTTAGTGC